ATCTGCCCAGCCCCTCACTCCTGCCAAATGCGCCTCCCTTAGGGAGGAATCCCCGGGCACAGGGGAGACACTCCTATGATGAGCACGTGATCCAAGCAGCCGCAGGCTCCTACAGGCTGCCGGGCCTCTGCCGTGTGGCTGGGGTGAGGACATCGGGAGCCAGCTCCGCACACAGAGAACTTCAGCGGCAGGACGAGAATGCAAGTCTGCATGCGGGCAGAGCAGAGGCAGGGGGCGTGGCTCCAGAGAGACGGGGAGAGCGACAGCCTCCAGTCCCCACTGCTTTCCAGTCCTGGCTCCAGGCCCCGCTCAGCCCAGCCCCCTCCCTAGGCAAGAGGCTGCAGAAATACCCTGAAGCCCACAGCACAGTGCTGTTCCTGGGCTGGGTGTTGGCTACTGCCGCTAGCTGAAAGCTCCCTCCACCGGGCGCAGGAGCCAGCAAGACTTACTCAGACAGTAACTGGGAGATCTCCTTGTCCAGCATGTCCCTCCTCTCCTTCAGGTTCTGAATGTCAAGGTGCAGAGACTCCTCCCGGGTCCCCTCAGCCTGGCCAGTCGTAGAGGTCGGTCGCTGAGTGGCACAAAGAGTCATCAGCTGAACTGATCAGCTACCCACCACACAGAGCCTACGTGATGCCGGGTGGTTACTCCCCACTTCTGCTTGGAGAGATCCCCTAAGCCCTAGAACACTACTACACTTCCCAGCTTCCCTTGGAACGCAGTGTGGCCCTGTGACTAAGTTCTGGAAAGTGGAACTCAAGTTGCAACATCTGGGAACCCCCTTCTGGGAGAGGGCTTCTCTTTCCCGGGCCTTCCTGCTGGCTGGAATGCAGATGTAATGTTGGAGATGAGCAGCCATCTCGGATCATGAGGTGGGAGCCACATGTTGAACATGTGTTGGAACAAGATGGAAGCCTGGTCCCCGACGACTGTTTACACCATTGTTATTTGGGGTTCTCTTTTGCTCTCAGCCAAACATAATGCTAACTAATGGGCCATCCTGGTCCCAAGCTGACTCCAGAAAATCCACTCCAGGCGTCCTCCTTGGGTTTTCCCCCATGTCTGCAATATCGCTGGGTTTATAATCCCCTAGGGTAACAAGAGCCTCTCCCCTGGGGCTGCAGTTCATTTCTGTCCTCTCTGCCTCTCTGCTGTGAAGGCCAATGTCAGGCGCACAGCCAGGCTTCCGGAAGTACACGTGCAATGATCTGTCTACCTGGGACAGAAGAAGTTAAAGGCAGCCGGCACTGTGGCACAGCGGGTAAAGCTTCCACCTGCGACATCAGCATCCTATATGGGAGCAGGTTCATGTCCTGGCTGCTTTACTTCCAATCCAGCTCCCTGCTGACGGCCTGGGAAAAGCAGTAGAAGATGGCCCAAGTGCTTGGGCGTTTGTCAACCATGTAGAAGACATTGATGAAGCTCCTGGCTTCAGTCTGGCACAGTGTTGGCCATTGTGGCCATCTGGGTAGTGAACCAGTGGATGGAAGATCTCTCTCTCTGTATCTCCGTAACTCTTTCAAAGTAAATAAATAAATCGTAAAAACAACAACAACAACAACAAAAAACATGGGGTCGGCGCTGTAGCATAGCAGGTAAAACCACCACCTGCAGTGCCAGCATCCCATACGGGCAGCAGTTCATGTCCCGGCTGCTCCACTTTCAATCCAGCTCTCTGTTATGACCTGGGAAAGCAGCCGAAGATGGACCAAGTCCTTGGGCTCCTGCACTGCATGGGGACCTAGAAGAAACTCCTGACTCAGCTCCGGCCATTTGGAGAAAGAATCAGCAGATGGAAGACCTCTCTGTGTCTCTCCTTTCTCTGTAACTGCCTTTCAAATAAATATTAAAACAAAACAAAACAGGCCGGCGGCACAGCTCACTTGGCTAATCCTCCGCCTGTGGCACCGGAACCCTGGTTTCTAGTCCCAGTTGCTCCCCTTCCAGTCCAGCTCTCTGCTGTGGCCTGGGAAGGCAGTGGAGGATGGCCCAAGTGCTTGGGTCCTGCACCCGCATGGGAGACCAGGAGGAAGCACCTGGCTCCTGGCTTCGGATTGGCACAGCATGTTGGCCATAGTGGCCATTTGGGGGGTGAACCAACGGAAAAGGAAGACCTTTCTCTCTATCTCTTTCTCACTAACTCTGCCTGTCCCAAAAACAAAACAAAACAAAACCAAACCCCAAACAGTGGCAGCCAAGGAAGGCATGGTTTGTGTTCCTAGGTCAGTGGCACGGAACAGTCAATCAAGATCAAGTGAACAGTATCAGCTGGGCACTGGCACAGGCTCAGGGCTGCAGCAATGGGAGACATCAGGCCGAGCCCCAAAGGGAAACCCCAGCAACTAGGCCCTTTCCCTAGACATCTCCACTAAATCTCTCCTGTCAGCTGGCATGGAAGGCCCCCCAACCGCTTCGTCTAAAACGTTAGTGCCTCCATTCATTCACTATCCTTTTACCCTTATGTTTCAGGGAATTTCTTACCACCTGACATGTGGAATATCAGAATCTTTTTATAAATTTATTTGAGAGGCAGAGTTAGAGAGAGAGACAGAGAGGTCTTCCATCTGTTGGTTCACTCCCCAGATGGTCCCAATGACCAGGGCTGGGCCAGGCTGAATCCAGGAGCCAGGAGCTTCCTCAGGGTCTCCCATGTGAGTGCAGGCCCCAAGCGCTTGGGCCATCTGCTGCTGCTTTTCCAGGTGCATTAGAAGGGCGCTGGAGGCCGGCGCCGCGGCTCCGCAGGCTAATCCTCCGCCTGCGGCACTGGCACACCGGGTTCTAGGGTTCTAGTCCCGGTTGGGGCGCCAGTTCTGTCCCGGTTGCCCCTCTTCCAGGCCAGCTCTCTGCTATGGCCCGGAGTGCAGCAGAGGATGGCCCAGGCGGAGGATTAGCCTAGTGAGCCGCAGCGCTGGCCAAAATAAATAAATCTTAAAAAAAAAAAAAAAAAGTAGACACATCTCAAAAGATGATGTGTACAAACTGGGGTTTGGGATGGGGGAAGGGTCAGTGAAGCACACTTTTTTCCTCTGCCAGTCTCCCCCTCTCTGTAACTAGGCCTTTCAAAGAGAGTTACGGAGAGAGGAAGAGACACAGAGGGATCTTCCATCTGCAGGGTCTCACCTCAAGCCTGCAGGGACTAGAAGCCAGGAGCTTCTTCCCGGTACAGGGGCCCAAGCACTTGGGTTGTCCTCTGTTGCTTTCCCAGGCTCGTGAGCAGGGACCGGGATCAGAATGGAGCAGCCGGGACTCTAACAAGGGCTGCTGGCGTCCCAGGCGGGGGCTTACCCCTGTGCCACAATGTTGGACTACGAAGTGTGAGCGTGAGCGTGAGTGTGAAGGGAGGAAATGAGTCAACAGGGACAAGAAAGGCATGACAGACTGAGACACCACAGCACGCCTAGGGACTGTGGCCACCGGAGCCGTTCAGGAAGAGACACACTCACTCCCAGGCTTTTGGCCAACTGTGGCTTCCCAGGTCACCTGGGCTCCCTGGGCCTCACCTATCACCCTACTACACCTGAGGCCACCTAAGCCCGGGGTCCCCCCCTCCTCCTCACAGAACACAGCGCCTACACTTCTGGATTTTTCTTTTTTTGCCTGTTTATCCTCTTTAGCCTGTGGCTCCCGCAGGGCTGGGGCAGCCCGACACACACCTGCTTGGAGCAGCTGTTTTCTCAAATCTTTCCTGATCTCATGGAGCCTGGGGGGGGGGGAGGTGTGAGAAAGGGGAGACTTGAGTTTGGGGTGCCGCCAGAGAGACACTGTCAGCACCTAAAGGAGGGGTGCGCCTCCCCCTGGAGCTGTGGCCACCTTAGGAAAGGGAGGGTGGGAGAGGAAAGGGGGGCTGGGGGGCGCAAGCAGGAGGGGGGGCTGGATACAGATGGCCCCTCCCTGGAGGCCACAGGGCAGGAGGGAGACCTGAGGGGCTGGGAACCTCCCAGAGTTTTGTTTCGGCAGGAAGACTGAAGAAGGCCCACCTATGGGCTGCGGTTGGGCGGGGGAGGCTGGGGGCAGCCGTGACAGACCGTTGGTGGGGGGCCACGCAGACATCCGCCCCCGGTTGGGTGGTTCAGAAATACTCATGGAATGGAGGGGGCTGACACACTCAAGGGGTCGGGGGGCTCAGGAACCCTCACGATTTGGGGTCTGCAACCATCCTCACGGGTCGGGGGCACAGGCACGGGTCGGGGGCACAGGCACGGGTCGGGGGGCGCTGGCACCCCCACGGGTCGGGGGCACAGGCACGGGTCGGGGGCGCAGGCACGGGTCGGGGGGCACAGGCACGGGTCGGGGGCGCGGGCTACTCACCGGCGACCGGAAGGCCCCGCGGCAGCGGCGGCTGGGTCCTGCTGCAGTCCTGGAGGGAAGCGTGGGAGAGGCTGAGCCCGGAGCTGCTCTGAGGGAAGGGGCCGTGGGGCGGGCGGGGCACCGCGACCTGGAGCGCCCGATGGCTCGGCTGGGCGGGCACAGACGCGCTTTCGGGATCAGCGTGGGCCCGAGGAAGGGCTGGGCGTGAGAGGGCAGGGTCTGGAGGACGCGAAAGGAGGCCCTGAGGTGCTTTCTGACTCGACGAGGCCTGGGCACCTCGGGGAGGAGTCAGAAAGGGACTGTGCCTGCTGCAATGTCCCCGCTCTGCGCTCCGCGCCCACCTCCTGAGCCCTGGGGTCCGAGGGCCCCGGTGCGGGGGCGCCTGTGGCGAAAGGGGGTCCAGGGCGCGGGCCGGGGAGCGGCCTCCGGGGTCCGCCGACCAACTAGAATTCCGTGAGGGACGCCATGACAGCGCGCCCAGAAAGCTGCGCGCGCATCCAACGGAAATCCGTCCCGCCCCCAGAGTGGGCGGTGCCGGAGCTGCGCGCGCAGCTCCCTTTTTGACGCCTCGGCGGTACTGGCAGAGACCTGACCGCGCCCCTCTTTATTCCGTCCTTCTCATTGGCCAATGGGCTTGAAGCGTGGAGGCCACGCCCACCCAGCCTCCTCGCTCTGCCCTGACCCGGCCTCTTCTGGCTCAGTCACACAGCTGCGCGGTAGCTGCCGGAAGCAGTTCGCATTGGCTGCCGGGATCGCGGTGATGTGGCCCCCCCTGCCCCCGCCCCCTCCCCGCCCCGCGATGTCGGAGGAAACCCGACAGAGCAAATTGGCTGCGGCCAAGAAAAAGGTAAACCGCTCGGGGTCGCCCCCCGGCCCAGCCCACTGCCCCCTGACGGCCGGCCGGTCGGTGGCCGGGGTCTGGGCCGCTCTGGACAGCACGGGTCGAGCCCCTCGGCGCCCCCTGGCTTTGCCCACCCGAGTCTCTCGGCCAGCCCCGCCCCTCAGGCCCAGCCCCCGCCCGCGCTCGTGGCCCCCGGGGGGCTTCGGGCCATTGGCTCCCGGGGCCCCTCGGCCCAGCCCCAGACCTGGCCTCCGGCCTCCCGAAGCCAGACCTCCTTGGGGTCCGTGGGCTGCGGTCTCCAGGGACTCGGGACCCGGCCCGGCGCCCCCTCCCCCTGCGCGGAGCGGCGACTCGGGGCGTGGGCAGGGCAGAGTGGAATGCAGTGAGGCCAAGTCGCCCTCGGGACTGTCATTACCCCGGCTCGGGCTTTGATCTCCGGCCACGTCCCTAAGAGGCCTCACCCCCTCTCTGCTTCCTCCCGCAAGGGGACTGGGACTTGGGGACCCCTTCCTAGCTGGGACACTCACCGTGTGAGCTGTGTCCATTCACGGAGAGCTGGAGTGTGGGCAGTGTTTCTGGGTGACCGCGGGAAAACTGGATTGGTTTCCCCCAGGTTTCTGCTCTCCAGAGACGTTTTGGGGGTGTGCGGGTTCTCAGGCTCAGGTCAAGTTCCCTGGTCCTGGGAGCAGATGCCCCCAGTCAGGCTCTCTGGAGTGACAGCTGCATAACCGTCTGTGGACCAGATCTTGGGAGGCCAAACTTTATGGCCTGACCCCACCACCACCACCACCAAGGGCGTTATTGAAGCTGGGGGAGCAGCGTGGTGAGGCCGCCCTGGGACTTGGGTCGGAACCTGGCTGAGGTCCTAATGGGCCCTGGGCTGGGATCCTGCCTGGTTCTGCCCTCTCTCCTCGGTCTCCAGGGTTCCTTGGGTGACCCTGGAAGTGCTGTGAGGTTCTGATGTGGAAGAGAGGACCAATGTCTTGTTGCCAAACCACACAAGTACAATTGCTGACGACATGATGTCTAGTCTTCTCCCTCTACCTCTGGTTTTGCCCACGGCAGCTGCTGGCCTGGCAGAACCCCAGACGTGGACGTTAGAAGCTGATTTTAAATCCATCATTCCCTTCTATGAGAGCACGTTGTCAGGTCCTCAGACATAGACTGATGGTTCCGGCCCCTGCAGGGTAGTGGTGGCATGAAGTCCGTGGTGGACGTGAGCGTGTCTGGGGACACTGTGCAGTGGGAGGTGACCGCGGGGCTTAGGGCATTCCAGAGAATCCACTGCTGCTCCTCCCGCAGCTCAGAGAGTATCAGCAGAAGAACAGCCCTGGTGGTCCCGCAGCAGGAAGGAAGAAGAAGAAACTGAAAAATGGCAGCAGCCCCGAGACAGCCCCTGCTGGGGGCTGTCACCCCACCGAGGATGTGAGTGGTGGCCGGCCAGGCCCCGGGGGTGAGGGCTGAGGGGCAGTGGGGTGGGGGTCAGGGATGAAGAGGACGATGGAAGGTGGCGGAAGGCAGTGTAGACGCTGGGTAAGAATTCTGGGTTGAGTGCTCCCTTTCCCTCTCTGGGGTGTGACGTAAGGCAAATCGCTGAAGCTCTCTGGGGCTCTCTTTGCACATCTGTCACGTGGAGTGGGCTGATGTTTGAGTTTTGCTGTTTTCGTCTTCATCCAGAGCACAGGGTCCTGTAACCACTCCTCGTCGCTGGTGTTTGCTACTTCCTCATCCCTGGCCTCGAGGAAAAGCCAGGCCAGTGAGAGCAGGCCCGGCCATCGGGCTGTCCCTTCGGCAGCCCCAGGCACTGGGCTGAGGCCGTGGCTCTGGGTGACCTGAGAAAAGTCCCATCCTGCCCTGGGCTTCAGCTTGGTTGCATTGGAACAGCGTCTCCTGATTGTGAGCTGTAGCCTCCGTGGTCCAGTGAAGGCTCAGGTGGAAGTCTGGCTTTGCACACGGAGAGTGGGGGGTGTGTCTGGGCAGGGTCTGAGAGCCGTCCTGGTCCACGACAGCACTTCCTGTGACTCTGGGGTCTGGGGACTGTTCCCTCTGTCTGGTAGGCAGCAAGTGGCCAGTCTGAGAGGATGGGGAGCTGGGGACCGCGGTCTGGATCTCTGCTCTTCCTCGGCCTCCGTTTCCTGAGCCCGCGCTCTCCCCGCGTCCTGGCCTCTCTCTGAGCCACGTCTCTGTTTCTTCCCTGCCCTTGTTTCTCCCTCTTCGCCGCCTCTAGATTCAGGACATTCTGAAGGTGCTGGTGTCCGACCTTAACCGTTCCAATGGGGTAGCGCTGCCCCCATTGGACAAGTGGAAGGTGAGGCAGTGCCGAGGCCCCCTCTCTGGCTTGCTGTCTCCCAGCTGTGCATGTCCCCGAGGCTTGTCTCGTTTGGGGGAGCCTCTGTCTCTGGCCTGTTTTATGTTGCTGCCATTAACCCTCGGCTGCTTCTGTCTGCTTCCTCCCCTGCTTGGCTCATTGACTTTTCCCCTTCCCTCATGTCTTTTGTCATCTTGGGGAGGGTAAGGCACACCTCAAAGATTTGGTAATTTAGGAATAACTTCCAGAGCAGGTCTGTGGGGTTTTGGGCTTTTGAATGCCCAGTGCGGTCAGACTAGGAGAGATTTGAAAAAATATAAACGCTGTTTCGTCTTGCCTCTGGGCAGGTAGACCAGCTGGAAGTTAGGGAGTTTTCAAATTGATGAATTCCTTTTGGTTTGAGAGTAGAGAAGGTAGACTCAAGAGAAAATGAGTTGGCTTTCTAATGGCAAGGATGGAGGTTAGCTTTCAGAGGAACTCACGGGCAAGGACGGGAGGCTACCCAGACAGACCAGTGCCAGGACGCTCTGCCCCTCGTCTCTATGACAAACCAGATGGGATGCTTAACCGGAATCACTGGGCCCGCGGATGGCAAAGGCATTGGCTGCACAGTGGTAGAAGTGGAGCAGGACAGGAGGCGCCGGGGGGGTGACAGTCCTCTGAGAGGGGCAGGGGAAGGCGGCAGTGGGCCAGCTGCGTGGCCAGGTGGGGGAGGTGGGTTCTGAATGGACTCGTGGCTGGAGGAGGTGGCGTTTGAGGCCATGTGAAGACTAAAGCTGGTACCATTCACCCCCACATGAAGAGTGGGGAGGCAGAGGGGCCATGAGGTCATAGGCGGCATCGTGAGGTCATAGAACGCCTGCAGGCCTGCAGGGAGCCTGGGGGTGGGGGAGGGGCAGGGCCCAGGCACATGGGGCTAGGTAGGCCATAACCTGCAGATGATGCTGGCACGTCCTGTCTAACTGCCCCAGGGCCTTCAGCCAAGCCAGTGTAGCAGGGCTGATCTGGAGATGGGCCTGGGGGAAGGGACAGGTGGTTGGTCAAGCATCAGGGCTGCTCCCACCCAGTTAGGTCCGGCCAGGGGCCGTGACTCACTCTGGCCTCAGAGGAGACACCAAGTGGCGTAGTCTGGGCAGGGCAGAGGCACGGAGAAGTCCTGACAGCTGTGTGTGTGGCTCATAGAGGCTCGGTTACTTGAGCCATCACCGGTCTCGCTGGGTTCACATGAGCTGGAAGGTGGCGTCAGGAGCGGGCGCTGGCAGCAGACCCAGGCTCTCTGAAGTGAGGTTAGGCCTCTCATCTGGCATCCTGACCACTAGGCTAAGCTCCCACCGCAAGACTTAAAATCGTGAACTTGGTTGTGCACAAAATAATCACGGTACATAGATTCAATTTTTATTTACTTATTTATTTATTGGAAAAGCAGAGTTACAGAGAAGCAGAGGGAGAGAGGGAGAGGGAGATAGAGAGAGGTCTTCCATCCGCTCATCTACTCTCCAAATGGCTGCACATGCCGGAGCTAGGCTGATCTGAAGCCAGGAGCCTGGAGCTTCCTCCAGGTCTCCCAGGTGGGTGCAGGGGCCCAAGGACCTGGGCCGCCATCTGCTCCCTTCCCAGGCCATAGCAGAGAGCTGGATCGGAAGAGGAGCAGCCGAGACTTGGACTGGTGCCCATATGGGATGCTGGTGCTGCAGGCGGTGGCTTTACCTGTGTTTAGCACTGGCCGCGGTACCTATATTTAGAATTGCTCAGAGGGGCTGGTGTTGTGGCAGTGGGTTAAGCCACCTCCTATGACACTGGCAGCCATGTGAGTGCTTGAGTCCCAGCTGCCCCATTTCTGACCCACTTCCCTGCTAATGTGCCTGAGGAAGCAGCAGAAGATGGCCCAAGTGCTTGGGCCCCTCCACCTCATGGGAGATCGGATTGGTGTTTCTGACTCTTGGGCTTTGGCTTGGCCTGGCCCAGTCTGGGCTGTGGTGCCCATTTGAGGAGTGAACCAGCAGATGGAAGATTCTCTCTGAGTTCCGCTCTCTCTCTGTCACTCTGCCTTTCCAATAAAATAAACCTAACAAGTGAAGGAAACTGCTCAGAGAAGTGTTCTCCCACTCCCCCATGGCTCCTGTGTCTAATCTTAGAGATCAGTGAGAACTGAGATGCTGAAGGGCCTGGAGCCTGGGTCCACAGCTGGGCGTGCAGCCTCCCCAAGGTCTCAGGCCTGGCCCGCTGCTCTTGCTAGATGGTTTCACAGATGTAGTCAAGGCAACAGTGGATTCTGAGAACAACATCACTGTGGGCAGTGGGTTCCAGGCCATGGTCACGGTGAAGCTGCGGACTCAGCACGCCTCACCCTCATCTGTAGGCTTTGCAGCCTGGACTCTAAGGAGGCAGCCGATTGGGCTTCTCAGCGGCCAGGGCTGAAGGGTCCAGAGAGCAGGCAGCAACCCCCCACATCCACTCAGCTCCCCGGGCTGGTGTCACGTGTTCAGCCATCTTGGCCGTGTGTGGCTGTCTGGCCTGCGGACGTGAGGTGGTCTCCAGAGCCAGATGCTTGGACTGAGAGTTAGGCCTGAGCCTGGGGAGAAGCTGGATGGGGCTGGCCGAGGGAGGGGGTCCCGCTGGGGGAGGAGGAGGGGAGGCTTCTGCGTGGCTCCGAGTACTGGATCCCAGCGTCGTTCCCTAGCAGTGTTCCTGGGAACGAGGCGCCAGGACCTCCATGTGCCAGGTCACAGGGCAGACGTCTCACCTGTGATTTCCTGCTCATTTTCGGTAGAGCAGGTGTTCCTGGGGCTGAGAGGTGCGCCATGAGGCGCTGTGGTTGATTTTATCTCCAGGAGGCAGGGAGAGGCTTCCTGGGCAACATTTCTCCTTGGAAAGGCCCGAATCGGAGAAGCACAGCGATGGGTGAGGCAGAGCGGAGGGCAGGGAGAAAGGGCGGAGAGCAGGAGAGGGGAGGGGGCCCCGTCACCACGGCGGCCTCCGCCCAGCAGGGGCCTAGAGTTAGGGTCCCTGTGTGGCAGAGACTGCTTTCTGGGGGAACACGGCCGTGCGCCCTGATTTCGGTGCCTGTTCCTTCTGCCTGCTGCGGCTGCCAGAGGTCAGAGCCTTTGCTGAGGCCCAGGGAGAACCGGGGCTTGTGTCCACGGAGGTCGTACCCCCCTTCCTTTGAGCTTTGGCTACCTGGCAAGATGCCACATGTCCAAGCCTGGTCAAGCCATTCCCACAACCCCTGTGGTTCCCAGCATGTGTGACTGTCACTCTGACTGTGCAACATCTGTCCCACCTGCCCTGCACCCTGTGTCCATGGCAGCGAGGCACCTCCTCTCCTGCACGGCCCCCTCATCCCCTGCTGTGTTCCGTGACAGGCGCCCAACGACTGTGCGGCTCCTGCAGCACCCTCTGCTGATGCCACCGTGTTACCTGGCGGTGTAGCGTCCCCTGGCACTAGTCTAACCAGCACGGCGCCGACTCAGGTTTGTGCCTCTGTCCTCTGCCTGCTCCCCGTGTGCTCGCGCCGTCTCCCTTCGCCGAGGCCTGCGCCTGCTGTGCGTGCTCTTCTCCCACCTCCCGGCACTTGGTTCCCAGAGCCAGGCACCCTTCCTGGGCCCCGGGGCTGGGGGCCAAGACGGGGCTTTCTCGTGAGGTTGTGGCAGTGCAGGTTGCTGGGAGGAGCGGGGCTCCTGCCACCCCTGGGGGGATCTTCCTGGGAATCAGGTGGTCACTGTCTCTCTCTTCTCCCTCAGAACCATGCTGCTGACCATGGCCCTGCCCTCATAGATGAGACCAAGTGAGTGTCTTCCTGTGCGGGCAGCAGTCCCGAAGCCGTGGGAGTGAGGGCAGCCACGGCCTGAGGACCTCTTTTGCATCAAGCCCCTGCACCCCTGACCTCTGTGTCTGTCCCTAGGACTTTGTCATCCACGGAGAGCCTGCGTCAGCTTTCTCAGCAGCTCAATGGTCTTGTGTCCGAGGTACCCAGGAACTGGCCTCAAAAGGGAGGACAGAGAGGAAGGGACAGACGTGGAGGCTGGGGTTGCTGAGAGCGGGGCATCCTGGACAGACTGACTGCTGGGCAGTGCTGGGCACGCTGGGGGACGGCTTCTTCGTGGAAGCCATGCAGTGGAGGACGTGGCCTTGAGAACGGTGACTCTGTCTGGGCACAGGAAGCGTAGGAAGAGCAGCACTTGCGAAGGGAGGGGATGGCGATGAGACCCAGGAGAAGCTGGCATAGAGGGTTATGGGAGGAAGAGGCCAGGCTGGGCAGAGCAGTGGTGGTGGGGAGGAGAGGCAGTCTGAGGGCAGGGACTTGGCGGTGGAGGGCGCAGCATCTCCAGGGGGCTCTTGTCTCTTCTAGTCCACATCCTACCTCAATGGAGAGGGCCTCACGGCTTCTAACATGAAGGATCTGGAGGTGAGTGGCTCTGCAGGCCCGCCCCCCTGCCCTCTCCCAGCGGGGGCCGGGTGCCCCACTGCCAGCTGAGACAGCCCGTGCCCCCAGCCCTAATGACTGCTCTCTCTACCTCTCCCCCAACCCTCCTGCAACTCCTGCTCTCTGCATGCGCCTCAGAGCCGGTACCAAGAGCTGGCAGTAGCCCTGGACTCCAGCTATCTAACAAACAAACAGCTCAGTAACACCATAGAGGAATTGGTAAGAGTCCAGTGTGGTCCCCTGATTCCACGCTGCCCACCCTGGGATCCCTTTCCCCACAGAGCTCTGAAGAAAGGGGCTGGGGGCCCTGGGGCCGAGGGAGAGTGGGAGCGGGGGCCCAGGTCTCAGCTGGAGGGACCCCAGAGCATGGAGCATGCAGCATGGCTCTTCCTGTCGCTGCCCTCTCCGCCTCCTCTTCTCCAGACACCCCTGCTTGCATCCCGGCCACACTGGCCCTGGGACGGTGGCCTCTCGGGGCAGCGCTGGCCACGAGCCGCTGTTCCCGCCCTGACTCCGGCCCTGACTTGAGTTTGAGTTTGGACAAGCGCCTCTCCTCGCTGGGCTTGAGTTTCCCAAGGAGGTGGAAATGGCGGTTGTCAAAGGTCTCTCTTAGCTCTAAGAATCCAAGATTTCCAGGCTCCCTGGGACGTAAACCTCAGGGAGAAGGGATCTTAGCTGTGCTTTCCACTGCTGTATCCCTGCTGTTAAGAGCAGCCCAGCCCCTGTGCAGCACGTGCTGAGCTGTGGAACGACGCGCGCCCTGTACATCCGAACCTAGCGGAAGGCCCGTCTTTTCTCACGTCCATTTCTGGAGCCTCACCTTACTGTCCCCCGAGGAGACTCCCGATTCAGACGAGCTCCATAGCTGTGAGCGCAAGCCAGCAAAGACCCTCGTGCTCTTTCCTTGGGAGTGTCAGGACAGGTCCTGGCCCACAGGGCCTGAGAACGGGCCAATCCCGCCCTGGCCCCCTGCCCACCCCCTCTTGCTCTGGGAGTGGAGTCGAGGGGACATCCTAAGTCACCTTCCTCCCTTTGACTCTCCCCACAGAAACAACAGAACCAAGAAACTCTGGATCAAGTGGAAAAAGTAATGTGATTTCTATGTCTGCTCACTGCATGGCTGCTGGTCTGCACCCCCGCCCCGCCCCCCCAGGGCCCTGAGATCTGATCTCATCCCTGGGCCTGTCCAGGACCATGGTGGCATCTGGGGCCGTGTCCCGTGTCATGCCATCTGTGCTGCCCCAGTCAGAGAGATTCTTTTCTCTTCCGACAGGAGAAGAAAGAATGTCAGCAGAAGTTGGCCAAGGAGCAGGGGGCTTTAAGAGAACAACTGCAGGTGAGTGACCCGTGGTGACCCTCGCCTGCCCCAGGAAGCAGTCCTTCCTCTGGCTCTGAGCACGTGTTTGGCTTTCTCCTAAAGGTTCACATTCAAACCATTGGGATTCTTGTGTCTGAGAAGGCGGATTTACAGTCGGCCCTGGCTCACACCCAGCAGGCAGCCAGGCAGAAAGCAGGTGGGACTGAGCACCCCCCCCCCCAGCCAGGCACCTGGCAGGCCTCTGGGGGGCCGGGGCTCCATCTCGACCCCTCTGCTTCCAGGAGAGTCTGAGGACCTTGCTAATCGCCTGCAGACGACCCGCCAGCGCGTCGGAGAGCTGGAGCGGACGCTGTCTGCCGTCTCCACGCAGCAGAAGCAGGTGGACAGGGTGAGCCCGGCCGCCTGCCCAGCCACTGGCAGCCTGGTTTCCTAGCAGGGAGTGAGTGGACAGGTCCCTTCTGCAGCCCGGAGTGGCCCAGATGCGGTCCGGGCCATTTCACGCGGCTTTCATTGGTGCCAAAGAACCTGGGACCGAGTTGGGTGGTGAGTGGGGGTGGCTGTGCAGGGAGCACTGGAGACCAAGCGCTGGGAGCAGGGATGGGGTGCTCGGGCTGGGAAGGCCCAGAAGAGCATGCGAGTTAGCATCCGTGAGGGGCCGTGTCGGATGGGAGAGGGGCCCTCAACCCCAGGGAGGGGAACATGGGGCTGGGGGCGTTTCCCCTCTGCTGTGGCGAGGGTAGACTGTGTGAATGCTGCACCGTCCTTCAGCAGGTGACAGAAGCTTAGACACAAACTCGGTTTCCCTCCGCGTCTGCGCCCTCATCCCTGGGGGAAAACGGGCCCAGAGAATGCGACCAGGATGCTCAGGTCTCAGACAAGCGCTGCAGCTCTGCACTGCGTTTTGCTGTTTTGTGTCTCTCGACAAAGAGGAGGGACAGTCACTGCCTCCTGGGGTAGCCGTGAGAATCAAGCGGGGCCGTGAGCCTGGGCAGTGGAGCACTGGGAAAGGGTTCAGAGTGACGCTGTAGCAGCAGGGCCACAGCAGTGCTGCCCGCTGTCTCTGAGCCTCCACTAGCCAGCGGGAAGTCAGCTCCTTCCCTTCCTCTTCTGCCCTCATGAGCTCTTAGGAAAAACCAGCGAGGCCCTGGGCTTGGCAGGCCTTGCCGGAGAGCGAGGGTGAGCAAGCGTGGCTGAGGCGTGTGCCTGTGCCCCTGTGACCAGCGCCCCAGCTCCACCATGGACCTGCCCAGTCCTGACGGCGCTTTTCTGTGTTTGCAGCACAACAAGGAGTTGACCCAAGAGCGAGATGCTCTCAAACTGGAGTTATACAAGAACAAGTAAGAAGGGGAAGTGGGGAGGAGTCTGGGGGACTTAGCACAGGTGAAGAGGGGAGGGGTGCCGGGGAGCATGAGGAGCAAGCGCTGTACAGGTGGGGCGTGTGCACACCAAGCTCTGCTGCCAGCTGTGCCACCGGCTCGTGCGATGGCCTCAGGCAGCTCAGGTCCTCTCTGGCCTGCCCCGTGAGCGAGCTGGTTGTCGGGGCCCCTCCAAGGCCAAGGTTCTTGGGAGGTGCAGCAAGAAGGTGGGTTGGTCACCAGCGTGGTCCTCTCTGTTGGCTCACTGCCCTCGCTGCCACCTCTCACGGCAGCAGAAACAACGAGGACCTGAAGCAGCAGAACTCTGAGCTCCAGGAGAGGCTTCGCGTCCTCGAGACAGAGAAGAAGGCCCTGCAGCTGGGCACGGAGGAGCTGCAGAAGAAGCTGGAGATGTCCGAGCTGCTGCTGCAGCAAGTACGCGCCTGTGCCGGAGCCCAGCCCCAGCCCCAGCCCGCGGGCGCCAGCCCAGGCCTGTCAGGGAGGCCCCGGCCAAGAGCTGGGACTTCTGAACCCTTGTTCTGGTCCTGCCCCAGAAGCCTCCCGGAATGGCTAGAATTCTGCACAGAGCCCCTGCCTGACCTACACAATCAGAATCTCAGAGACACAGCTCTTCAAACATTTGTATTCGAGCGTCTCGGTTTCCACTGGGAAGGCAAAGGCAGGCAGACAGAGATGGAGGGAGATCTTCCATGCACTAGTTCATGTCCCAGATGCCTGCAAGAGCCAGGGCGGGGTCAGGCGGAAGCTGGGAGCTTGAAACTCAATCCAGACTCCTGTGTGGGTGTCGGGAGCCCTGGAGGCCGTCCCCTGCTGCTTCCTCAGTTGCACAGTAGCAGGAAGCTGGGTGGGAAGTGCAGTAGCCGTGACTGGAGGCAGGCTGTCTGCTATGGCATGCGGGCATGCCATGTGGCCACCCACACACTGCACCGCACACGCCCCCAAACCCTCATGTCATCCATGCCTTTGGTAGGCTAGCCTGGGAGCCCCAGCCAACACTTGACCTCTTCAGTGACCCTGAGTCCTGTGTTGGCCCTGAGGGCTTCCAGTTCTCACCTTGTCCTCCCCACTCAGTTCTCTAGTGAGTCTGGCGTCTCTGACGGTAGGCAGCAGCTTCAGCAGGCCATGGAGGAGCGGGCCCAGCTGGAGAAACACGTGCAACAGGTGCGGCTTGGCAGGAGGCGGGGGGCTTGGGAGGAGACTAGAGCCCCGGGCGGCCAGGAGCAGGTGAGCCTCCGCGATGCCTCCTCCAAACTTCTGCGTCCGTTCTCAAAGCTGCTGGAGACGCAGACACACCTGCGGATGGACAGGGACCGCTACGCAGAGGGCCTGGAGGAGGAGCGTGCCCTGTGGCAGGAGAAGATGCAGCAGATGTCTGTGCAGGTGGGCAGCCCCGTGGACAGGCCCCTTTGTCTTTCTGGGTGTCTGTAAACGGGCGCAGCATGGGCACCTGCTGTGGCCTGCACCAGAGCTGGTCTGTGTTTGGGTTTGGGGCAGCGTCGGTGCAGAGGGAGGCGGTGGCCCCCACTCACGGCTCTTTTCCCTGTCTCGGGGCAGCTGTGCACGCTGAGGGAGGAGAAGGAGCACGGCCTGAGTCGGGTGCAGGAGCTGGAGACCACCGTGGCCGAGCTCAAGAGCCAGAGGGGTGAGCTGGGGTGGAGGTGGCCTGGGAGCAGGACGGGGGTCGGTGCCCGGCGAGGGTGTTGTGGCAGAGGGAAGCAGGGCTGTGCCAGGGGCTGGCGAGTCTCGTCATCTTCTGAGGCTCGGTGACCTCATCCGCAACAGGGGTGGCGCACCCACTGCCCGCCGTGCACGGCCCCTGATGGCTGCTTCCTTCCTCAGCGGAGCCTCCCGCCCCGGAGTCCGCAGCGCCCCCCGCGGGGCCGTCGGCGGCGGAGCAGCAGCTGCAGGCGCAGGCTGAGCAGCTGCAGAAGGAGCTGGAGAGCCTGGCGGGGCAGCTGCAGGCCCAGGTGCAGGACAACGCAGGCCTGAGTCGCCTGAACCAGCAGCAGGAGCAGCGGCTGCTGCAGCTGGAGCGGGAGGCGGAGCTGTGGGGCAGCCAGGCCGAGGAGCGCAAGCAGATCCTGGAGAGCATGCAGAGCGACCGCGTGACCATCAGCCGCGCGCTCCTGCAGAACCGGGAGCTCAAGGAGCAGCTGGCCGAGCTGCAGGATGGCTTCGTGCGACTGGTGCGTTCAGCCTCCCTGGGCAAGGCCTCTGGCACAAAACACTTCCCTCTGGGCCTTCATTCCCACCCCCCACCCCCCGGTCAAAGGGGACGGTGTAGGCCTAGGGAGGCGCCCTGGGAGCCAGGCCCCTGCTCCAGCGTCTGTTGGAGGGGAGGGCTGAGTCTCAGCCCTCCCGGCACTGTGGGAGGTGGCACCTGGTGCTGGGTCCCGATGCAACCGCTTTGGGTGGCAGCGGATCGCTTCTGTCTGTGCAGAGCAATGACAACATGGAGCTCACCAGCTCGCTGCAGGCCGAGCAGCACGTCAAGAACGAGCTGGCCAAGAAGCTCGGCCAGCTGCAGGAGAGGCTGGGGGAGCTGAAGGAGACGGTAACGCTCACCGCCTGCGAGGGGTGGGCCATGGGCACAGGTCTCTGGGGAGGGCGGTCTAGGCCCAGGAGGGGGCCGCTCCAGGCTGGAGTGACAGGTGACCCCCACTGTCCTGCGGCTCTAAGAGCTGGTAGCCCCGGGCTCCTCCCGCGGCTGGACGTCATTGTCCCAGGGAGAGGCGTGTCACCCAGCTCCACTGGTCACTGCACAAAGCTTCCCCTTGCTAAGCCTCAGGTTCCTGACCAGGGAACTCAGTGTTTCCCTCTCCAGGTGTTGAGGAGGAGCTGAGGTTGTGCTTGTAAAGGAGTAGGCACGGGCGTGCCCTAGAGGATGCCTTCCCTCTCGCGTTGGCCTCAAGTGAAAGTGATGGGAAGAAGGGGATGAGTGTGAGGCGGGGTGCAGGAGACACGGGGCCTCCCCTGCAACCAGCGTCATCGGTAGCAACCCCCGCCTGCCCTCACGCTGCCCCCACCCCCTTGAGTCTCCCCGCAGGTGGAGCTGAAGAGCCAGGAGGCTCAGAGTCTGCAGCAGCAGCGCGACCAGTACCTGGGCCACCTGCAGCAGTACGTGGCCGCCTACCAGCAGCACGCGGCTGCCTACCAGCAGCTGAGCTCCGAGAAGGAGGCGCTGCACAAGCAGATTCTGCTGCAGACGCAGCTCATGGACCGGCTGCAGCACGAGGAGGTGCAGGGCAAGGTGGCGGTCCAGGTGGCTCGCCAGGAGCTGCAGGAGACCCAGGTGAGGGCTGGCGGGCCTGGGCGGGCCCCGGGGGAGGACCTTGCACCTGTGTGCCTTCTCACTCTTCCTGGCCCCCAGGAGCGCCTGGAAGCTGCCGCCCAGCAAAACCAGCAGCTGCAAGCTCAGCTGGGCCTCCTGGGCCTCCCTGGAGAGGGTGAGTGAGGCTCCCACGGGGGAGGACGCAGCTGTGGGGGAGGGGGAGGGGGCTTGGCAGCACAGCGTGGATTGAGAGAGACTCTGAGGACGGCTGAGCCCTCTCCTCTGGGCAGTGGCTGCCCTGGACCCCCCAGGGAGGGTGGGCGCAGAGGGGAGCCCTGAGCTTTCCTCCTTCCCTCACCGGATCATCTGGGGTCCCTCTGGCTGTGCCCTCAGGAGATGGGGAGGAGGAGGAGGAGGAGGAGGAAACTCCCCAGGCCAAAGTGCCCGTCCCAGAAGACCTGGAGAGCCGAGAGGCCGTGGTAAGCCAGGCTGTGCCCTGTGCCTCTCCATCCCACCTTTCCCTGCCTCCCTCTGTGGCCCCTCCTTATATCTTGATTCCCCCCTCCCCCACTTTGATTTCTCTTGACCTCACACCTATCCTGGGAGCCAGTGGTCAGATAGCATTCCTCCCAGGAACAGCAGATGCACCTGCACACACGGACTCATTCACCTCTTGCCCGTAGGTGACGTTCTTTACGTCGGCTCTCGCCCGAGCCGAGGAAGAGCGGGCCCGGCTCCGCGGGCAGCTGAGGGAGCAGAAGGCTCGCTGCCGGCGCCTGGCTGTCCTTGCCGTGCCATCGCAGGGGGAGCCCGAGGGGACCTCAGCCGCTGGGACTGGGGGTGACTCTGTGTCTGGGGAGACTCACCAGGCCCTCCAGGGGGCCATGGAGAAGCTGCAGGTGAGGGGTTCTCTCCCGCCACGGGCCAGGAAGGCTGGGGGCTGGGGCCGGTGACCGCCGAGCCCTGACCCCATGGTTGTGGCTCCAGACCCGCTTTCTGGAGGTGATGGCGGAGAAGGCGGAGCTCCGAGAGCGGGTAGAGGAGCTAGAACACCGCTGCATCCAGCTCTCTGGAGAGACGGACACCATCGGTGAGCCGGGAGCGTGGGCCCTGGCAGGGGGAGCTGCATGGGGTCGCGTGGGCCCGCCTCTGAGCGCTGCCCGCCGCCCCGTCTGTGCGCAGGAGAGTACATTGCCCTCTACCAGAACCAGAGGGCAGTGCTGAAGGAGCGGCACCGGGAGAAGGAGGAGTACATCAGCCGGCTGGCCCAGGACAAGGAGGACATGAAGGTGGGGGCCCTGGACCCTCCTGCCGCTTGGGGCGGGGGCCGAGGCCCAGGGCAGGGGCGCTGAGCACCTCTCCTTGCAGATCAAACTCCTGGAGCTGCAGGAGCTGGTGCTGCAGCTTGTGGGCGAGCGCAGCGAGTGGCAGGGCCGAGTCCTGGCTGCCGCCCCGGACCGCGCTGACCATCCCGCTCCTGCGGCCCCAGCCCTGCAGGACGCTGCTGACCCGCAGGCTGGTGAGGAGAGCGCCCTGGGCACGGGGGGCAGGCCGGAGCAGAGGCGCGGGCAGCTTGCTCAGAGCCCCCTCTCTCTCCAAGGTCTTGGGGAGGTGAGCCTCGCCGACACCGTGGAGCCTGCGCGAGGAGAGGCTGGGGAGGGCTCGTCCACGCAGAACCCTACCGCGCAGCAGATCATGAAGCTGCTGCGGGAGATCCAGCACCCCCAGGAGCGCCCAGGCCTGGGCACCAACCCCTGCATCCCCTTCTTCTACCGGGCTGACGAGCACGACGAAGTGAAGATCCTGATCGTCTAACCCCAGATGCCCTCAGCCCGGAGAGCCTCGCCCAGTCCTTGCCACACCCCTGCAAGCCACCCCGCCCCCTGCCCCTCCATCCCAGTTCCCTTCCCTCTTAGAACCCTGATGGGGAGAGAACGGCCTTCCCTCTTAGAACCCTGATGGGGAGAGAACGGCCTTCCCTCTTAGATAGAACCCTGATGGGGAGAGAACGGCCTCTAGGCTGCCTCTCTGGAGGACCCTCGGGGGCTCCTGGAGCCTCCTCATTTCCAGCTCCATCCTCAGAGGCTGTGACCAACGTAGGCAGCGTTTGTGTGGCCCCCAGAACAGCCCAGACCGGGGGGCTCTCCTCTCCTGGGACAGTCAGCCAGGCAGTTTTCATTGCCCCTCTTGGGCCTACTGTCAGCCTGGCTAGGGTTTAATCTGGCCGGGACATCATGTGGGGGCCTCAGCAGGCACGGACACGAGCAGGCAAGAGCCATGACCTGGCAGGGACATCTCCAGTGCAGGCCAGCGTCAGGCGATGGTCGTCTCCAAGCCACAGGCGTCCGTGGGCGAGGCCATCTTCAGGCCGGAGATACTTCAGGCCAGGGTCATCTTCAGGCCGACATCATCTGTGGGTGATGGCACCTGGGCACAAAAGGCATCTTCAGGCAATGGTCATGGCTAGGCGGGGGCATCTGGGCCAGGGGCATCATGGGTGAGCGTCATCTCTGGGTTTTGTCACTTACGGGCCAGGGGCATCATGGGTGAGCGTCATCTCTGGGTTTTGTCTCTTACGGGCCAGGGGCATCATGGGTGAGCGTCATCTCTGGGTTTTGTCACTTACGGGCCAGGGGCATCATGGGTGAGCGTCATCTCTGGGTTTTGTCTCTTACGGGCCAGGGGCAGCTAGGCAAGGATCATTTTGGGTCAGGGCATCTTTGGGCGAGGGCATCTGGGTGAGGGTCGTCACTGGACAAGGGTCACTTCCGGGCCAGGGATATCTTAGGGTCATCTCTGGGTGGGGGCGTCTGGTCGAGGAGGGCATATTTGGGCAAGGGTCATCTTTGGGTGAGGGCATCTTTGATGGGGCATCTCCAGGCCCAGGGAGTCTGGGCAATAGCATCTGGACAAGGGCATGTTCGGGAGGGGGCAGGCTGGGTGAGGTTCCCTTCAGGCCAGGGGGCACCATGGTCGAGGGCATCTGGGTGAGGAGGGTGTCTGGGTGAGGGTCATCTTTAGGCAGGGGCCTTGCTGGGCAAAGGTCACTTCTGGGCCAGGGGCATCCTGGGCAAGGTCATTTTCAGGCAAGTGCATCTGGGCGAGGAGGGCATCTGGGTGAGGGTCATCTCTGTGCTGGGGCACCTGGACAAGGGTCACTTCCAGGCCAGGGGCATCATGGGTAATGGTCACTCTGGGCCTGGGGCTTCTCGGGTGAGGTCATTTTCAGGCACAGGCATCTGGGTGAGGCATCTTGGGCAGTGGTCACTTCTGGACCAGGGGCATCATGGGTAAGGGTATTTCGGTGAGGAGGGCATTATTGGGTGAGGGTCATCTCTGGGCAGGGGATCTGGTCGAGGGTCATTTTGGGCAGGGCTCACTTACGGGCCAGGGCATCTCTGGGTGAGGATCTTCCTCTGGGCGAGGGCTGTCCCTCATCAGGGAGGCTCCAGTCCCCGAGTCGCAGGGTGGCCTGGGCAAGCTGAGGCTAACTGGAGGCCCGGTCCTTAGCACAGGTGGCGCTCACCTGGCCAGGCGTGGGCCAGCTCTTCACTCCGTGCCTGTGCCCCAGGCAGGCCAGCTGGGAGGCACGGGGTCGGCTGGGGCAGTGATGCAGGGGCGCCTGTCTTCTCACTAAGAGGCATCCAGCAGGCAGGGCCGAGGCAGGCGGGGCAGGCATTCGGGGACTCCCTTTCTTCAGAGGCACTTTGGGGCAGGGCAGCAGGCAGCATTCTGTCAGGCCCTGTGACCGTTGGGGCTAACTGGAGGCCTGATGAGGGGACAAGGCTGCCTCCAGGGGGGCCCCCACCCCGCCCCCATGTACATATTGTACTTGTGTACATTTTGTATATTCTGGGGGTAGGGCCGCCCCCTGTATCATAGCTGAGGCTGGAGCTCGCAAATGAGGAGGAGGTCTTAATACTTCTTTGGGGCTGGGAAACTTTATTTATTGAGTCTATGGCACAGGAAAGAGGCGGAGACAGGGTTGTGGCACCCTGGTGATGTGGCTCCTGTTACTCTTTTTATCTTGAAATAAACAGATTTAGCCACACCGCTTGGCCCCGTGTGTGGCAGTTTCGTCGCAGGGCCCAGGGTCTGCTGTGCTGCGGGTGGGCACTGCACAGGGCGGCAGGGCCTGGCCGGCAGTGGGCAGCCTGCCATGCTGTGCCGAGCGTCCGTCCAGTGGGGTGGAGAGGCCTCTTCCAGGCTGGTCTCCTTACACTGCGATGCCAGGGGCACAGCTCTGCCCTGTGGCCCCCAGGCTCTGAGCTCATGCTGGAGGGATGCAGGGAATGCCGCGTGCCAGCGCCCAAGGGTGCCAACTTCCAGCGCTAGCCCCGCCCTACCCTGTCCTTGCCTCCAAGCCCAGGCCTGCAGCCCACAGCCTGCCTCCAGGCTGGGTTTCTGGTCCTGCCCCCTGGTGGTCAGAGCAGGGCTCACAGCATTGAGAACTAAGCAACCTGCAGGCACTTCCCAAGCCGCCCAGGAAAGGAGGGGGCCTTGTCCCACCCCTTGCACAGCACCCTTCCCCGCGCTGCACCCCAAGGGGGAAACCTTGAAACCTCCCCTGCCCCGGAGCACCACAGAGAACACGAGCCGGCACGGGACGCAGCGTTCCCGTCGTGTGGAAACGGGCTTTATTCTCAGCCAAGAGACAGCAGGACTGGTGGAGACGGTCAGGGACCACACAGCTGCCACTACAGCACCCCACGCCGGGCGGGGAGGGGCCAGGGAGCAGGGCTGGCTGTCCGCAGGCTGGGCAGGGCAGGGCGGCTCACAGGAAGTGGCACACGCTGGAGGGGGCAGGGCAGGGCAGGGTGACAGCCATCCCTTGTCACTGAGCCACAGAATCCACAAGGACAGTACGGTGACCAGTTCCCAACATAGAGGCGAGGCTGTGTCAGCCATATATATATATACACGTATATATACGTGTGTGTGTGTGTGTATATATGAGTATTTATAGATATTTATAGAACAGGGCAGGAGCAGGACCGCAGAGGGGCACAAATTTCACCAAGGTCACGCCTGGAGGGGTCAGCTCACCACACCACAGAAAGTCACAGATGAAGGGGAGGCTTTGGGGCTGAGGGGCCACCGTGAAGTCACAGAACAGCTGTCCGGGTGGGCTTGGAAAGGGAGGTCTCCGAGGAAGAGGAGGGATCTGGTTAGAGGTCGAAGGGGGGCCTGGGGCTCTCAGGACGGGACGGACTTGCCTGACCCGATCGGCTGGCAGTGGGAGAGAAAGCAGAGAGAACAGCGGAGAGAGAGGAGGAGATGGGTAAGGCAAGAGCAGCCAGGCCCCCGCCTTGGTGGGCAGGGCAGGGGCGGGAAGCAGCGGCAGGTGGGCACCTGGACGAGCTTTCTGGGAAAGGCGATGGACAGGCAGGGGAAGGAAGATGGGGGAGGAGCTGGAGCGGTGACCCGGGTTTCCGGGGAGTCGGGGTGGAGGCTGGGGAGGGCCTCCCCTGCACTCACGCCACCTCTCACACAGCACCCAGCAGCACAGCCCCAGTCCTGACACTGCCTGGCCCTCTCGGGCTTCCCTCCTCCCTGACGGCCCTGCTGTGGGTCCACTGGCCAGGGCCAGCACTAGCCTCGGGAGGCCCCCGTTGGCGGCCAGCAGGCCTGATGGAGAAAGTCAGGAGGAAGAACACTGCTGGAGGCCAGTGCCGCGGCTCACTAGGCTAATCCTCTGCCTGCAGCGCCAGCACACCAGGTTCTAGTCCTTGTTGGGGCGCCGGATTCTGTCCCGGTTGCCCCTCTTCCAGTCCAGCTCTCTGCTGTGGCCTGGGAGTGCAGTGGAGGATGGCCCAAGTGCTTGGGCCCTGCACCCCATGGGAGACCAGGAGAAGCACCTGGCTCCTGGCTTCGGATCAGCGCGGTGCGTCGGCCGCAGCACGCTGGCCACGGCGGCCATTGGAGGGTGAACCAACGGCAAAGGAAGACGTTTCTCTCTGTCTCTCTCTCTCTCTCTCTGACTGTCCACTCTGCCTGTCAAAAAAATAAGAACATTGCTCGAACCAGGAGCGCGGAGCCAAAACAGATGGCTGTAGGGGGCGCCGGAGGCCCCTGTGGGCGCTCAGAAAGCCCAGGTGTCCCCTGAGTGACCCTGGGGAGGCAGGGTGGACAGGCAGCCAGATGCCAGTGGCCACAGACTCATAAATCTAAGAGGGGAGCCTCGGCTGGTCGGGGGGCTGCAGGTCGTGTAGGCGAGGCTGGGCCCTTCCTGCTGGGGAAAGCAGAAGAGGGAGAGTCAGAGGCAGGGAGGAGTGGCAGGCCCTGGGCCAGCTGTGCAGCCCGGCCGGGGAACTGCGAATAGCTGGCCTGCCCTGGCCACGGGGCTTCGTCTGGGGCTGAGCACCCGCCTTCAGCCAGTAGCAGGAGTGACACCGCCCGGGGGAGCCGAAGGCTGGCGTCCCTGCCTCACCTGGGCTGATGGGTGCAGAGCATTCTCAGGCTTGGAGGTCATCAAGCAACCGGAGGCCTCCCCCCACCAGCCACTGCTAACTGCACACCCAAGGGAGGAGGTGACCCCCAACCATCACTCCTGGCCTGTGGTGGGGCTCCCAGGCCGGGGGGCTGGACACCCCGCTGCCCCCTGCCCCCAGCAGCACAGCTCCGATTGGGGCAGGTGTGGCACGCCCAGGAGGCAGCTCATAGGCTGTCCCACGACAACACCCTCCACGTTCCCAGCCCCTACCCCATCCACCACAAGCTTCCTGGGCTCTTGACAGCTCAGAGGCACCCACGGCTGCCAGCCTGGGTGCGGAGCCTGTCCCGAGAACCCCCAGGCCCAGCCACGGAGGCCCTGGGCAGCGGCACTGAGTCCCGAGGCTGGCTGGGAAGGGAGAGGAGAGAGCCAGCTGGCGCCAGGACAGAAACAGGACAGAGGGAGGCCGGAGCTGCAGTGTGGAGAGGGCGGGGCCTGGCCCTGAGGCCCCAGGGCGCCCCCCAGCGTGCGGCTGGTGCAGCAGGGCAGACACAGTCATGCGACAGGCAGCGGCTGCACCTACCGTGGCTGACGCTCCTCAGGGCTCACTGAGAGTGATTCTGGGAGACAGCGCAGGGACCTCCCGGAGCTTTGTGTGCCCGGGAAGACTGAAGAAGGCCACCTGTGGGCTACGGTTGGGGTGGGGGAGGCAGCTGTGACTGCCACAGTGGTGGTGGGGAATGCAGACATTCTCCCCTGGTTGGGTGGGCTCAGAAATCCTCACGGGTCAGGGGCACAGGCACTCACAGTGGGTTAGGGTCTGCAGCCACCCTCACAGGTTGGGGGGCGCAGGCACCCTCATGAGGTTGGGACACACTGGCACTCACACGGGTTTGGGGTCTACAGCCACGCTCACAGCTGGGTGGGCACAGTCACCCTCAGGGGGTCGGGTTCTCAGGCACACTCATGGGGTCGGGGAGCGCTGCCACCCTTGTTAGGAAGTCAGAAATGAGCTCATGTGTGTGTGACAAGGGACTAAGGAAATGACATCTACAGTGGTCCAGCATCCGCATCTCAAAGTCATCCCGATAACCTTCCAGGTGCAGCCCAGCATCTGCACTTCAAACGTGCCGCCCAGATCCTGATGACCTTCCGGGGGGTCCCGCCCCTTCTACCTGGCCTGATACCCATCCTTCCTCTAAGACGGGGCGACGCCAGCCAGGCTTTCCCTGTCTGATAACTGCAGGGGAAAACTCAGAAAGGAAGTTTTCCTATTTACACCAACAAGTCCTTTGTTCCAGGAGGAGGAGAAGGAGAGGGGGAGGGAAGGCCAGACCCATCCCCTTAGAAGCCCCAGCCTAAATGTGCACTGTGCACTCTCTCTCAGGTCCTGATTGGAGAGGTGCCCATCCGTCTCACGCATGTCCCTACCCTGATAAACCTTGCTATGTTGCTTTCCCCTGCTCTCTGTCTCACACATGAATTCTTTCTTGCGCAAAGACAAGGACCCTTTGTTTCTCCAGTAACCACAAGGTATTTTCTGGTAACCACTAGGGATTTTAAGAAAGCATCAGAGGTCAGTATTCCTTCCCTCAAGTGGGACAGGGGACAACCGTTGATCGTCCGCACCCCACGCTCTCTCAGAACGTGGAGTCCCCTCCAGCCACAGCTTAGCCACAGCTGAAATTCCAGAGGGATTGTAAGGAACAGGAGGACAACTAGGAAGGGAGGTTGTCTGAGAGCCTGGAGACCCTCCAAGCTCGCTCTGGTTTCCCGGTGGCCAGACTGCGACCCGAGGACCTTGCCTCTCTCTTGGAGGGACGGTGCCACGCCAGCAGGGCTTAGCTTCAGTCGAGGCTAATATTGGACCTCCAGGTAAACTCAGAGGACTAGAGATATTGGCAGTCATGAGCGATAGAAGGTTCCTAGCACTCAGTGAAACTGCATGCCTACCCAACCTCACAGCCAGTCCTCTGGGCCCAGGCGTGAGCAGTCTTCCCTGTCAATGAGGCACTACGGCCTCTCCCTGTGCTCTCTTCCAGTCCACGTGGCCTGCTGCACCCACGCGGGCACAGCCAGATATCTGGGGAGAGTTGAGCGCTCTCCAGGGCTGCTTTTTCTCTCCCTCCATTTCCAATTCAATACCCGCTGCAGGGGAGGGGAAAGGCCTTTGGCTGTGGCTGGCCTTGCAGGTTTCCCCACCTAAGGGAGCAAGAAACCTTAATCCATTAAATCTTCCCTGTTGCTGTGGATTCACTCTGAGAGGAGGAGCGTGGTGGAGGCAGGAGGCACGGAGTCACCACACAGACCCCGTGCGTGAAAGCAGGCCTGAGGCAGCAGCCTGCAGACTCGTTTATTTCAGTTGGTGCAGCAGCTTATATAGTCGAGGTAGCCAATCCTGTCAAGGGGCGGTCTATGCCCTAACCAATCACAGCCCATTGCCAGGCAGGCTCTAGTGCCAGGTGGTTTCCCAAGGGGTTTCCGAAGCCACTCCTGAGTAACTGACTCTCGCTTGCCTGCGGCCATCATGGCATGGCCTTCTCATTCTGCCACACTTTCCAACCCGATGGATGGGCTTTTCTCTTTGCAGTGAATGGAAACTTTTCCTTCAGCCCACAGGAGTCTCTCATTCTCTGCCTCTTTGTTTGAGATGTGTTTCACTGCCCTAAGCAATGGGTTCACACGTGGATGGTCAGCTTTCTGTGCTGCTGTAGCTAACTTAGCTGATGAGAGCTTTCACGTGTCTTGATGGTTTCATGTTTTTCTGTTGCCAGTACTGAGTCTTGATGGGGAGAACTGCTAGGCAAAGTTGTTTACGTTACTTGTCTGTTTTTAATGCTTGCGAGATTCCCTTAACTCTGATCAGATCTAGCCCACAGCCTTGGTAAAAATGCTCAGGTGAAATGTGTCTTTTGGCCAAATCGTTTGACTCTGGCAGTTTTAAGTTCTAAGCCGTCTTCTGACATTGAGGCTTCCAGTCAGATCCCTGGAACTCTCAAAGAATGAGACTCTGAACTTGTTAAAGTAATAGCTGTTTGATTAATTCAGATTATGGAAAGTACACTAAAAGGTTATAAATTATGTCAGACCTACATTGTGTTCATGTTAGAGTGGTTTTATAAAAATAAGAGTGAATTCTGTGCATACAAGCCGTTATGTCCTTAACTAAAGTCAGCCACTACAGATTGGTTCAGAAAATTGGGTTAATCCAAACGCCCTCCTGTTCGCTCAGTTTTACGTGTCTCTGATTTGCTTTAAACTTGTTTCCTTTAAAGATGAAGATCTTTTCAAAGTTGTAAACATGCACTCGTGTCCATGTTTGCTATCAGGAGGTGTTATCCTTATTAGTTACTTAAAAGCATGGAAATGTAAGGTTGACCTTAACAATAATTCAGATAATGGTGTGGTATTCATTACTATCTCAGTGTCTAAGTCATCTAGGCATTGTTGCTAAGTAAAACATGGGAAAATGTATTATGTGTACTTTTAACATGTTAAATGCTGTAGGGGAGACTGGCTGAGTTTGCCAGCATGTATTCTCGTAGGTGGTCCATACACGACAATTCAAGACTTTGTACAAGTAACTGCAGGTGTAAGTTTCAGAAAGTGTGAGCAAGTCACAAAAGGTTTAAGTTTATGATTTTAAAATATTGTTTTCAGAGTTTTCTACAAGTTGAGTGTTAATGCCAAAGTTACACTGACCTAAAATTGAAGTCCTATCCTCTGTTATGACGAAGTTTTTTTTAAAAATGAGTATTAATGTTAGTAAATATCTGGAAATGGTCTCGATCATAAATCTTAAAATCTGCTTTTGTAGAAACTGCAACGTCTCCTTTAACAGTGTCTGTTTAATTGGCTACTCTGTGCCATTCCTAGGTCCTAAAAGCTCTTTTTTGACTCTGGTAAATTGTTCCAAGTTATGCGGTGATTTTTTGTGCTAATTCTTATGTTCAAGGTTTTTTTTTTTATTTCTGGTTTATTCAACAACAAGAGACACAGAATTTGCGTTCTGCTGATGTAATCTATTGTGTACTTGACTGTCTCCGTTAAGTTCAGACTGTTGAAAAGCATTAAGTCTTAACAGTTTAAGTTATTGGCTGGTGCCGCAGCTCACTAGGCTAATCCTCCGCCTGTGCGCTGGCACTCGGTGTTCTAGTCCCGGTTGGGGTGCCAGTTCTGTCCCGGTTGCTCCTCTTCCAGTCCAGCTCTCTGCTGTGGTCCGGGAAGGCAGTGGAGGATGGCCCAAGTGCTTGGGCCCTGTACCCGCATGGGAGATCGGGAGGAAGCCCCTGGCTCCTGGCTTTGGATAGGCACAGCATGCCAGCCACAGCATGCTGTCCATAGCTACAGCCATTTGGGAGTGAACCAATGGAAGGATGACCTTTCTCTCTGTCTCTCTCTCTCACTGTCTAACTCTGCCTGTCCCAAGGAATCTTTCAAAAATAATAGTTTTAAGTTATTTTAAATATGATTGTGATTAAATCTGGTCTAAAAGTGTTAAAATCGCCCTGACTAAATGGATGGATATCATTTCAGGATGCTAAGGAATTCTATTTTGACCAGATACTTTCTAAGTTCTCCTGGCACCTTCAACAGACTTTCTGAAAATCAAAGTTCTAAATTCTCTGGACTTTTGCCATCTCCAGAGGGCCCCTGGAGATGTCAAAAGAGATATCTCTCATCTTGCAGAGATAAATAACCAGCTGGGCTGTTTAGATGAAAAGTGGTGCCAAGCTGTGAAATGATGCTCCACTTCAGTTATAAGCGTGTTCCCTTCCAGCTGCTCCAGTCTCTGGCTAAGAAGCCAGATCCTTTAAAGAGGGACTGACACAGTCTCCATCCAGCTAATGCTGAGTAACCAGGCACTGCTAGTTCAAATGTATTGCTGGTTCAAATGTGGATCAAATGGAGGTCTAGCCAAAAGGGAGAAAGTGTTCCACAAGAGACTCGGAGACGACTGGAGATGGTTATGCGGCAGGTACTAGAGCACCGGGTTCCAGGAGCCCGAGAGAGCTCAAGTGTCCACAGGCTACACGGTGAAAACCCGGAAGCCCCAAAACTTACACTTATGGGTTACACGGAAACACTAGCTAAACCCGGCAACACAGGCCCATACCCCACTGGCTACACGGTCAATATCCGGAAGCCAAAGGATGGCAGAGACGTCTGCCACGTCTCCTCTGAGTCAGGCTATGCAGTAAGCACTGGTTAAACGCCGGTTAAATCTGAAAGCCCAGGAAGTCAGGCTAAGCAACCAGAGAGACCCGACTCGCTGCCTCCCTTCTCCTCTTTTCTCTTCCAGAAGGGAAGTTGCTACTGTTCTGCAGGACTCTCCACTGTGATGTATGGTTTGATCCCCAGACCTCATATAAGGGATGACTGACCTTTTCTGTAATAATGCCTGGCCACAGTATAGAGGACCAAACAGCATAGCCAAAAAATGAGAGGTTAAACTATAAAGTAATGTTCCAGCTAGACTGGTTTCTCCGTGTACACGGTAAATGGGCAGAACTCCCCTTTTCAACCAAATCGAGGGGAAGATAGAAAGTTGTTCTATATATATATATATATATATATATAGAGAGAGAGAGAGAGAGAGAGAGAGATCACCACGTTTGACCTTGCCTGAACAGTCGTACTTCTCATGGGCACGGTTTTACTCACAGGAAGTA